GTGTCCGCCCTTTTCCGCTGGCCATGCAGCATTTCTCTTCGTTTGTCTTCCAGGTGACTTCTTTATTTCCTCGAACAGGTTACGGTTAGGGGTTCTCAATGCTTTCTGGGGGTCCGCCTCGCTGCGGGACAGCGTGTGTGCGTTCCGTCCGGCTTGTCACCATCTGTCTCCCTTCTTGGTGGTCCCTTCTTGTTGGTCATTGTGTCCGCCTTGTCTCCCTTCTGTTTCCCTTTTCTCTTTTCTGTTTCCTTTTGTCTTCCCTTCTTGTTCGTCACTTACGTTTGTCACCCAGCTCTGAGCTGCTGTGTCCGCCTCGGCCTGCCTTGCAAACCTTTACATTTGTCTCCCAGCTCTGGGCTGCTGTGTCCGCCTCAGACAAGAAGGGAAACAAAAGGAAACAGAAGGGAGACAAGGCGGACACAGTGACCCACAAGAAGGGAGACAAGACTGGAGACAGAAGGGAGACAGAAGGGACACAAAGACCAACAAGAAGGGAGACAAGAAGGGAGACAAGGCGGACACCATGACCCGCAAGCAGGGAGACAAGACCGGAGACAAAGGGAGACAGAAGGGGACAAGGGGGACACAATGACTGAGGCGGATTCAGCAGCTGAGAGAGATGTAAAGGACTGCAGCGAGAGGCGGACAGAGCAGTCCAGAGCTAATGTAAAGGATTGCAAGGCAAAGGCGGATGCAGCCCCAGGAGGTCGTCTCAGTAGAGAAGGAGTGGGGACAAGATCTGATAGCGGACGAGCCATTTGCGATGCATTTGAAGTGGGCGAAGGAGGATGCATACCACTCAGGTTTCCCATGCGGCACCTTCTCAAGGCTACGTTTCCGCAAGGCCCCGGGCATGCCTGGTCCGGTGCGGTCGAGGGAGGAGCTCTATGGCATATGGAGCAACAGTGCGAAGCAACAGGAAGAATGCGACCTGGGCACCATCATGATGTCAAGGTCTTGCGCCGTGGCGGAAGAGTGGTTGCTGTCGAGGCTGTCTTCCATGTTCCATGGACAGCCCCCGGAGGACTCTGCCAAGCCGTGGATCCTCAATGTGCTCTTTGCGCCCAAGGTTGCGTGTTCGTGCCCTGTTCTCCCGCCCAGAAGTTGCCACTGCGTGCGCCAAAGGTTCGTCCGGCTTTCCCATGCTGGGTATCCGAGCTGCG